CAGGCGCGCGTCACGCCATAACGCTGTCAGCCGCCGAGGCGAGCGTATCGCGGGAGCTGCCGCGTTATTTTCTAAACTCTTTTGCGCCGATTTTTAATACCGCAATTTGACTTCGCTATAATTAAGGTAATAATTAACACGAATTAAAATGTGTACTTACCACGCGAGCAGATATTGTGAGCTTTACCGCAGCGGGTAATTACCGCGTTTCATTTACTTTTTTACTTGTTATAGAGAAACGGCATGTCCGAGTTGTTTTCCTATGCGTAATAGCAATAATTAAATAATAACCAAATAAATTAAATAATAATCGAATAAAAAAGTAATAACACTCGAATATTAAATGGTAGTGATGATCACATCTATTTGACAGTCGTGTGATAATATCCGCGAGTGGATAATAATGAAATAATGATGATCGAATAAACGGTAATAACAATATCTGGGCAACGGGTCTAACAAAAACTCTAAACTCCACGAAGGTTAGGTAAACCGATCGTCGTAACGGCGCGCTCGGGCCGCTGACTGAGCGGTGTTAGAGTTGGGGAGGGGGAGGGCGGCCATGTAACACGCGTGCGCGAGCACGTGCTCAAGCATCACACTACACACTCTCAACCGTCGAGACGAGCATATTGGGAGCCGCCGCGTTTTGTTCTAGATTATTCCGTGCCGATTTTTAATACCGCGTTTCGACTTTGCGACAATTGTGGCGATAATTAAGACAAATTAAGACGCGTACTCCTTACGCGAGCAGATGTTGCGAGATAGGTAATTTACCACGATAGATAATTACCGCGTTTCATTTACTTTTTTACTTATTAGAGAACATCGCGATCGAGTTTCTCAATGTCGATCAAATATTATCATCATTCATTTATTATTCGAGTATTATTACTTCTTTATTCGGTTGTTATTTAATTATTTTTATTGCGTATTGGGAAGCAACTCGAGCGTACCGTTACAACGATTTTCTTATCTCATATTGCTGTCGTGTATAATTACTTGATACTACCGAATATTATTATAGGGTTGTCGATTAAATATTAATATCATCATCTATTAATTAATCGGGTATTATTACTTCTTTATTCAGCTATGATTTAATTATTTCTTATTGCGCATTGAAAACGAACTCGAGCGTGCTGTTACGACAATTTCTTTTCCTTGTTTTGCTGTCGCGTGTAACTAATTGATACTAAATTATTAAATTACTAAATTGAATTAAATTTCTGTCACAGATATCGAATAGAGCAGACACACGTCACGCGTCTCTAGAAGATGCGATGCCTGAGAGATTGCCGCGCCAAAGGATTCGGCTCGGGCCTGTCTGAGTCGGCTCGAAGGTGAGCTTCACTAATTTGTATTTATAATTAGAAATTCGACAAAAGTGAAAATTTTCTTTTTGGAAACGAATTCCTTAATGCCTCTATCGTCGTGTAATTAATTAATACTCAGTTAAATAATGTCTTTTGTTGCAGAGACAAGCACTCGACTCTAAAGGGATGCTGCGCCGGAGGATCCGGCTCGGGCCTGGCAGAGTTAGCGCGAAGGTGAGTTTCACTAATTTGAATTCATAATTCCGATAAATCCGATAAAACTGGAAGTTATTTTGTTTGAAATAGAATTCCTTAATGCCTCCATTATCGCGTGTAACACTAAATTAAATCTGCTTTCTGTTGCAGAGATGAAATAGACGACCAATCGACTCTTAGGGGCTGCTGCGCCGGAGGATCTGGCTCAGGCCGAGCGGGGTTAGCTCGAAGGTGAGCTTCATTAATTAATATTTGTAATTAGAAACCGACAAGATTGATAATTCTCTTGTTCAAAATCGAGATAATTTGAATCGAATCAAAGATCGCATTAAATCGTAATTAGATGCGGGGACAATTTTTTCTGAATAACATCACCACTTGAAAAATTTTAATTAAGAGATTTATTTGCAACGTCGAGAAAAAGGAAAGTGAAATATTCCAAGAGTGAATGCATTCCGAAAAATTCTTCCAGCGTGAAAAATATCGCGTTTATTTTTTTTTAATCCTTCAAACTTCTTTACTCAAATCGTCATCAATGCAGGAACCTAATCGGCAAAATGGCATTTTTCTGTTCCAGAAATAAAAGCAGAATGTGGCTATCCTGATCGGCGGTTTGGTGAGTCAAAATAAACATATTAGAGTAGTAGAAAGACAAAAAGTCTTTCGATAGTGCATGCTTATCAAATCAATGCGATTTACTTTGCTATAGTTGTAATGTGTGTACGTATCGTCCAATAAAAATCACACTGCTCAAAACAATTGGAAGATCGCTTTTTCAAATAATAATATTAATGATAACGCATATTTTACGTAAATTTGGCAAATAAATTTTCAAGTATTTTTCTCCCAATATATATGTACCATACTTAGAAATTGACTAACTTAGATTATTGATTGGTCGACGTTTTTTTCGGGGGAAATTTTGAATCAAACCCCAACACTATCTGATAGATGCTTAAAGTATTGAGTATACGCTTTGAATATTCAAAATTTTGTAAAATTTTTATTCAGTTTTATTGAATGCGGTCTTTTTGTCTCGAGTAGTACGCCAACGCGCAAAAGTATTGCGCCACATAAAATGCGCAATCACAACACTCGCGTAGATCTTCCGCCAGTCGTTAATTTTCTCAATTTTCTCTTTCGCGTAAGCTTGTATTTTACAAAGCAGAGTTCATACTTCGTTATTAAGTAAAATTCGATATCATGCGGCACCTGCGCGAAGCGATCTAACGTAATCGTATAAACTGCTCGTAAAATTAATTTCACGATCGTCGGAAAATTTTCAGAAAAATTTTCAATTTTTCACTTAAAATTGGAGCTTCCTAACACGGGACACAATATGGACAATGCTAGCGAGCGTTGATTGTTTACGCGGCACACGACAAGTTCTATCGAACGAAGATAGACGTCTCATGCGGTAACATTTTTCTCGCGTAAATTTGGAATAGAATATTTATCTCTATTGTCACAATTTTCATAGTTTTTGATTTTTTATTCACATATTCGTGATTATTAATTTGATAAGTTTGCGAATTTCATCGGATCGTATTTGCGGAAGAGTCGCGAACTTCGCAATATTGCGGAATTGTTGTGCGCAAAAGCATTGTGGAATTGTCTTCGCAAAAGTATTGCGGAGCTGTTATCCGCAAAAATATTGCGGAATTGTTTTCGCAAAAGTATTGCGGAGTTATCCGCAAAAACATTGCAGAATTGCCTTCGCAAAAGTTTGCGGAGCTGTATTGCAGCCTACTACGTTGCACCATCGAAACGTTACATTAGGGATACTCCGTGTTGTACGTGAGAATTTCGCATAGATTATTTCGCCCACACGTCGAAAGATTTCGTGAGATCGACCTTTGCATCGCGTGTTACCTTCGCTTGCGGATTCCGTTTTCTTCGTAAGCGATTCGCGTTGCGCGTGTATCAAAGTGATACACTATAACTCGATCGGACTGTTGCTGAATTCGTCGCACATATTCGTCGTTTATCCGAAAGGCCGATATTTCCTCGAAGACACAGTTCGCGATATTTCATACGCAACTCGCAACTTGATATTTATCCCCTAACAGAGACGGGATTTTTCATGAAACCTTCGTTAGATTACCGTGGTCGGGAGTGAATTACAGGCGACGTGGGACGCGGGGACCATAGCAGCGTCAGATGCAATGACAGGATGGCTGATGGACCCTGGACACCGTGGAACGACGCGCAATGGTGAGCGCTCAATTTAGACGCTCATATAGTAGATACAAAGCGTCACTTTACGTAGATTGCATGCACGTAGACGTAAATCGCATTGGGTCCGATGGGAAGTAAAGTGAGCATTGGAATTTGCAATTCGCCGGAGTTACGTAAGAATGATCCAACCAAAGAATTTAGCTCGGAGATTTTCGCAATAGTTCAACGAGTCAAACATTTCTATTTCTTTAAGAGTACTGACTAGCTCAATCCATAGAAAAATGTGCAAAAAGACGCGACTGGTAAAAAATGAAAAAACTGTTAATTCATTTCAAACATCTATAAGGCTTGCATTTTTTTGTTTAGATTAAAAAGATATGAATGGAGTATCCATTCATAAAAGCTTATAATTTTTTGAATTGGTTCATTCTTGCATAATAATAGCCAATTGAAATTTCGACTCGGCAGGCTTCCTTCTCGTCGGATTATTTCTTGATGATACATTAAACTGATATATTTCATACATGTCATATTTATATGTTCTGTATATGTTATATATGCTTTTTTATGCTCTGTATATGTTTTATATATTCCCAATGTATGCTATATATATTATTTGATTAATATACTTAACTTGTTAAGTCGTATTATATACGATATACTATCTCTTTGGAGATATCTTTTTATGCATACGCGTTTGTTGTTGACGATAGATAAATAAAATTTCGACAAATTAAAGACAATAAATTAAATTATTAAGCCGAGACTAGAACCGAAATTCTTCGATTTCCCGCTAAATTATTAAGCCAAGATTAGAACCGAAGTGTTTTGGGTTTCCGCAAAATTATTAAGCCGAGTTAGTTAAGCCTGGGGTAATTTTTTAAAGTTTTTTAAAGAAATTTTCACATTTGCATAAGTGTATTTTTGAAAATGACGTGAAGTTTATGTTTCGTTCTGCATTATCTCTTGGATGACGTGCCTTAATGTCTATACTCTACTCCCTCAGTAACACGCCTAGAATCTTGAAAATAATTGCCCAATATCCCAACGTCGCGCCCCCAGCGTTAGATCCATCATAGCTATATATTCGGATTCTCGCGCATGCACCTATCCTGGGCCGAAAATCGGTCATGTTACCGCAAGTTAGGTCATAAAGAGTTAGCGTCTAGAGCACATTTTAGACTAATTTTTCACAGTCTTTTAAAGTAATTTTCGCGATTGCGAAAGTGTAATTTCGAAAAAAACTTCAGGTGTGCATATTTCTCTCTGCATCGTATTGAGGATGACAATGTGTGTTCACTCTACTCCTTCAGTAATAAGCCTAGGATCTTGAAAATAATTTTCCTATATCCCAAATTCGCGTTCATAACGTTGGATTCAGCTTAGCGTTATAGGAAATTCGGATTCTTGAACATGAGCCGTCATGTTACTGCAGATTATTTAGGTCATATAGTGTTAGCATCTAGAGCATATTCTGGGATATTTTTTATAGTTTTTAAATGTAATTTTCGCGTTTGCAAATATGTATTTTCAAAAATGACGTTGCGTGTGCGTATTTCGCTCTGCATCGTTTCTTGGATGACAATGTGCGTTAATGTCACTGTTCCCTCAGTAACACGCCCAGAATCTTGAAAATAATTTTCTAATAACCCAAAGTCGCGTTCATAACGTTAAATCAAACTTAGTATCGTAGGAACATCGGATTCTCGCATATTGGCCGAAAATCACGTTACTATAGGTTATTTAGGTCATATAGTGTTAGCATCTAGAGCGCATTCTGAGATATCTTACAGTTTTTTTAAGTAATTTTCGCGTTCGCAAAGATATATTTTCAAAAATGGCATAAAGTTTGACTATTTCGTTCTGCATCGTCTCCCGGATCACATGGGATGCTCCGCTTCATTTTCGCACGTACTTTCACCAAAAAGGTTTTTCATTCGACGGGAGTAGAAAGAAGTAGTTTTTGCAAAAAGATTCGATATCGTGATAGTAACTGTTTCTTATCGTTTTCGTCTCATATTGAGAGATGCTTCGCTTCATTTTCGCACATACTTTTACCATGCAAAAGAGTTTTTAATTTGACGCAGATAGAAAGAAGTAAACATTGCAGAAAGATTCGAAGTCGTGATGGTAACTGTTCCTTATCGTTTTCGTCTCATATTGTGGGATACTCCGCTTCATTTTCACACGTAATTTCACCATGCAATAGGGTTTTTATTCGATGCGGGTAGAAAAAGTAAACTTTGCAGAAAATTCAATGTCGTAATAGTAACTGTTCATTATCGTTTTTGTCTCATATGGATGGATGCTCCATTTCATTTTCACGTACTTTTATCATGCAAAAGGCTTTTTAATTTTATCGAATCAGCATGGCACAATAGTTTTGCAAAAGTATTCGGTATCATGTTAACGACATTTCCCAACAAATTTTACTTTGTGTTGACTTGACCAAATTAGAAACGTAATGCTTTTGTATAGTAAAAGTACATGCATAAATGAAATAGAGCATTCCTACCTCAAGGATGAAAACGATGTGGAACTATTCCTATCGTGACACTGATTTCATTTTTCAAAAATTACAGCGTACTGACTGCTCCAATTTGTATGATAAAATTACGTGCGAAAATAAAGTG